ACGAGTGGAAGACTACGTTAAGACCAAGCATGGTTTATCCGAATGGATGGTGATGCCCTTTGGTTTAACCAATGCTCCTAGAATGTTCCTACGGCTGATGAACCACATTTTGAGGCATTCATTGGCAAGTTCGTGGTTGTATACTTCGATGACATTCTAATCTACTCAAAGTGCATGGAGGATTATCTCAATCATTTGCGAGAGGTGTTGGCGATGTTGAGGAAGGAGAAATTATATGCTAACCTCAAGACACTACAACAATTTTTGCCTTTTATGTTGTTCAAAAATTGTTAGCCATGTTGAACTAGCTAGCCATGTTGTTCAAAAATTGTTAGCCAAGTATAGATCTAATCGTTGCCTTACTAGCTAGCCATTTTGAACTTACTTTTTGTCACATTAGGACACCAATTTGTCAGCGTTAACGTATTATGTCAAAAAATAGTTGTCAGACTGTTTGTCACAAGATAGGCGTCGTAATAGATGGTTTGTGACGAAATCTTACACCGCTTGTCATAATAGATAGAGACATAACATGACCAATAATTGTTGTCGGAATAGGGACATTATTGTGACAAAGAGTTTCGTCAGTAAAAAGGAAATACTTTGTCATAAGTTCTTTGAACTTGTCACTAGAAGCTTGATTTTCGGGACCTTTTTCTGACAACCACCATTTGATATGACGACTACGGTTGTCAGTATCTTGGTCACATTATACATCCTTCATAATTAGTATCATTGCATAACTGACAAAATGATTTTGTCACTAAATACCTGTTACGATGACAATAATTTTGCCAGTCAATATTAAAAAGCTACATAGTTTATAGCTGACCATTTGTCATTTTGTCATTTCATTTTTAACTAGTGACAAAATCTGTTCGAGAGGATCCTGGTATTTTGACAAAACACAATAGTCATATGCAACATCTGTGACCAAGTATTTTATCAAACCTGATACTGCATAACTAGACAATCCTGTAACGTTTAACAATAATATGTTTGCCAAAGTGGCATTCAACCATCAAAAAGATCAGGAACATCATTCCAACATAGAATTCTAACAAGCATAGGTTTTAGATCATTCATAATTTCATAGAATTCTAACTAGCATACATTTTAGATCATTCATAAGTTCAAAATGGCTAGCTAGTTTGTACTTCTAACGTCGGCTTCCACAAAATGGCTAGTTGCTGATTCTAAGTTGTTCAAAATGGCTACCTAGGTATACTTCTAACTTCGGCATCCACAAAAGTTGCATACTGCTGCTTCAAACGTCGCCATCCCCCAAAAGGTTAAAAGATTCCATCTTGAAATCATCGACGCCTGCAAGAAGACAATGACAAAAACACAGTCATTAATTACTTCCTCTCCTAATTAACTTGTAATGACAATCATACGTGCTCACCTAAAAGTACTGCAGGTAGTTCATCTAAGTTCTTAGACGACATTGACAGTAAATAATTGTTACCTGCTGGGACTACGACTTTCCATACTCATTGCCCCATTGAGTTTTGCAGCAAAAGACTTGATAGAAACCTATTTCTAGGGTTCTATCGACTAGGTTGGGAAATTGGGAATTGGTAGGGATTTAGGGATTTAGAAGAGAATTAGGGATTAGGAGGGAAGAACAGAAAGAACGGCCGAAGCCTCGGAAGAGAAGGATAGACGAGATTTGAGAGAGAAGAGATTAGGGTTTGGGGAAGGATGACTTTTCTATTAATTTCTGGTTAATGGAACAAAAGAACCAAAGTACATATATATATAGCCAAAGACTGGAAAACCTAATAGACTATCCTAATATGACTCAAAGACTACTACCATATCTAGATAAATCCTAATAATAATTATTATGATAATTATGATAGAACCCAAAAATTAGGTTTCTATCATCCCCTCCCCCTTGAGACCAACCTTGCCCTCAAGGTTGACCGACTCGACCCACTCCTTCGTCCTCCTGGTGCAATTTAGATGTCGTCTCATTTGCTTCTTGCGCTTCCTTTTCTTCCAATCCGGTACGAGTGCTTGCTCCGTCTTTCTCGCGATGACCCTCAAGAACTGGTCAAGGGATGCTGACTTCAAGAGTCCACTCTTTGCTTCCTGGTTGAATAACTCCTCTTTTGTTGGCACCACAATCCAGTACTTTAAGAAATCGAAATGGTTCTTATGGCACAAGAACCTATCCTTGAAAACCAGCTCATCAAGGCCCTCAAGTATCTTCCTTGGAACAAGCCCATAATCCAAATTTGTTGCATTTCCAATTAATTTTGAGCCCTGCCACTCCAAAAGCCTACCAACTAAGCTTTCATTCCCATCTTCATTTCCTTCCCAGCGCACCTTTATCAAGACACAATCTAAATTGGGCTCACTCACTCCTTGCAGACGCGGCCCAATGTGTCCACTTTTTGACCCAGAGTCTAACATAAATCGTTTCCAAGAATGCAGCTCAATTTTGTGACTAAAGCCCGCTGCATCCCTAGTAGCGACCACGTTCTGCTGCCCCACTTGGCCCGAAATGAATTGCTCCCTCCTTGACCGCGTGTGCTCGCGGCCCACTGAATTTGACTCATCAAAACATTTGACCCAAATCACTTTTTGCTCAGTAATTGGCCCAGTAAGGTAGGCGGCCCAACCAGCCGTGTGACCCACCGGAAATGGCAGCAGGTTAGCACACCCTAGGGTTTGAGACCCATAGTTGGCGAAAAGAGAAGCAGCGCCGCCCTCCTCCATTTCTTTCGCCGGCAACTCTACCCGGCGGTGAGGCGGCCACATTATCTCCGGTCTCTTCCTTCCGTCGTCCGACACGAAACCAGCCCCCACTGCCCTACTTTGCGGCTTTACCTCCTGGTCGGGCAACTCCACCAAGGAAGCCGCCGTTAGCCCCTTCTTCTTCCTCGATTTTCCCGCCGGCGAGCGGCGAGTTCGGCGGCCACCCGACCCCGCTGCCAGCGTCTTCTCCCGCGTCACTTCTTCGCCGGCCGCCGCCGCTTCCGCCGGCGATTCCCTCTTCTCCAACTGTGCACGAGGAGGCGTACCGCCTCCGTCTTCCTTCTCCTCTACCGGCGACGCACGAGGAGACTCCCTGTCGCCCGCTGCCTTCTTCTCCCTAGCCGGCATCGTTCTCACCTCCCAGGGAACAAGGGAGAGGACCGGGTCGCGTTTCGTCCCCGACCTCGCCTCCCCGCTAGGCAAAGCCGTCTCCGGCAATGGCTCCGCCTTCCTTTGTTCTGGTCTCCCCTTGGCCTCTGCTTCTTTGTTCGACAGCGCGCGACCAACCAGGTAAATGGGAAGCAAACTCAGTCCGTTATTCCTCATCACAGCGACTTGATTGGCCGCAGATCGCGACGTCTCCCGCACGACTCCTGCCGCCTGCAATTGACTTCGGCGACCTTGCTCTGGCGACGTGCTCGATTCCTTCTTCTTCGTGTACGTTGGAAACTCCCTCGCCAACTTCTTTCCCGGTGGTGAGCAGACCACCTGTCGGCGGTTGGGATGCGAGCCCGCTTCCTTCGCCGCTTTCAAATCCATCCCCGACGACGCAGATGGCGATGATGCTCCTTTGCTTGGCTTTTCCCTTCCGCACTCCTTCTTTCTGAACTTCCATCCGTCAATTGGGGGCCTCAATGGCATTGGGATTGTTCCGGGAGTAGTACCTTTGATGTAATTGAGTGGAACGTCGTGTTTCCGCTTGCTGGTGATGGTTGGCGATGGCAAGGTTGCTTCCCAGGCAACCACTACGGTTGTGACAACTGTGGTCGTAGCCGAGGCATCAACGTCGAGAGCTGCGGCTGGTGCTAGTGATGACGACACGGCCGCGGCTGGTGGCGATGGTGAGACGATGCGACCCAGTGCTGTGGGAGTAGCCGATAGCAGCTGTTGGTCCTCTGGGATATCCTTCATCAATGCCGCACTCCTACGAGTTTCACGGTATCGTCGGTCAAGAGCTTGATGTTGCAGCTCCTCCAATCGAAACCATTCTTGATCAAAGAGCTTTGAGGAACTCATTCTTGCTCTTGATTGAGATTCCGTCGTCCCTAGTTGAGAGTTTTGAATAACTCGTTCTCGAAACGGGGCTCTGATACCAAATGATAGAAACCTATTTCTAGGGTTCTATCGACTATGTTGGGAAATTGGGAATTGGTAGGGATTTAGGGATTTAGAAGAGAATTAGGGATTAGGAGGGAAGAACAGAAAGAACGGCCGAAGCCTCGGAAGAGAAGGATAGACGAGATTTGAGAGAGAAGAGATTAGGGTTTGGGGAAGGATGACTTTTCTATTAATTTCTGGTTAATGGAACAAAAGAACCAAAGTACATATATATAGCCAAAGACTGGAAAACCTAATAGACTATCCTAATATGACTCAAAGACTACTACCATATCTAGATAAATCCTAATAATAATTATTATGATAATTATGATAGAACCCAAAAATTAGGTTTCTATCAAGACTCCATCTGCTTCTGAAGCTTATCTTGTGAATCTTTCAGCTTTCGCATTTCCACATTTTGCATCTGTAACTTCTCCTCTTGGTTTTGAATCTTCTCTTCTTGAATCATTATCTTCTCTTCCCGACCTTGTATCTTTTCTTCAAACTCCGTAGTTCTTCTTTCCGATTCAGCTCTCTCTGCTTCCAGTTCTGCTTCCAGCTGTTTCTCTCGAGCTGTACGGGTTGTTTCCTTGGGTCCATATTTCACTTTCTTCTTCAGCACCATCTCAACAATCTCGCGACTCGACAATGTTTTCCCATCTGCCTTTGCCTGCGCATGAATAGCTTGCATCTCTTCCTACATGAAAATCATTTAGTTACAAAAGTTAGTGGTTCTTTAATTACTCTAGAATAGATCTTAGCGCATCAGCTATTCAACTTACATAATTTGTCTTAGGTTCCTCGCTCGTCCAGCTTCCATCGTTCCTCTTATGTGTTCTAGCATACAATGTAATATCTATGGGCTCCTGATCCTCATCATCAACCTGCTCCTCCACATTCTCTGTACTTGGCGGGTCAGGAACATGCTTCTTCTTCTTATTCTCCTAATGGTATGAGCAAACCCTTGCTTATTCTTGTTAATTATATTTTGTTAGTACGATTCTACAAAAGGAAAAGTCAGTAAACACATATGGATTGAAAAACAAACATGTATATGACTAAGAAGTGTTTTACCAGAAATCGATCACTCTCAAAGTGATTACACAAAAGCTCCCAATCCTCTTGTTTCACACCAGATGGAGGGTTCAGCCGAGTAGTGGCAACACCTCCTTTGCTCTTATAGTATGAGAGCTATGCTAGCTTCCAATTTCCTAACAGTAGCCCTTCTTATTGTCTTAGCACCCAAGATCTTGCATGTATCGCTTAACCTCATAAAATGAATTAGGAAGTGTCTCCCCATGTGGTAAAGCATCCTTGAATAATTCTAGATTCAAGTTGAATGCTTTATCACTACTATTGGTGAGGAACTTGTTATTCATCATTTTCATGACGAAAGAAAGTTTTGAAAATTTCTTACATTCTGGATATAGGGGACAGTTAGCATCTTTTATGAACCTAGCCAGAGTGGCATTAGTAGGTATATTCATATTATCTGTCGATGATGCAGCCCCTACTGTAGAAGAAATTTCAGCAGCTCGACCCACATCTTTTAACATTTTAGTGATATCATCATTGAACCCTTCAGTTTCAGCTTGAATAGGAGAGTTAGGAGGCTGGTTTAGGATACTAGTACTTCCAAAACCATATGGTTCGCCATGGTGAATCCATGTAGTATACTTATCGACCATGTCGTTCTTAAACATATCCGTTTTCACCAAGTTTAAGTTCTTAAAATAAATATTATTGCACTTCTTGCATGTACATCTTGTCCTACCAAGTGCATCAACATTATTAGTTGCAAACCCTAGGAATTCATTAACCCCCGCAACATATTCATCACAGACTCTATTTCGTAGCTTAATCCAATCTCTGTTCATTCTGATTAAGCGTAAAGGTAGGACTGACCTTCACACGTATGTTGTTATCTCAGTTGCAAGCTGAAGATACAGTGAACAACAAGCACACCTACAAAAAAGATGACATATGCTATATTAGTATCTCATACTCTATGCATGCAAACAGGCTAATGAAGACATGTCAAGTCTGCACAATTCACCTCTAATGGTTACAAAACGCCACCTAATGATTCAAAAATGCCAGAGCATACAACACAAAGAGATCCTAGCCTACTGTCCATCTCTTAGAAAAAACATATGATCGCGATATGCAAAACCAAGAAGCAATTTACTACTGAATACTGATATTGTTGAACTTCATCAAGCACAAGCAAATGCACAAGCACATGCCATTTCATTTTCTTTTTTATACACAACATATACATACGGAAAAACCCCAACCTTTACAACACTACGACATGAACCTTCAACTGAACAAGATTCTGTGGCTAAACTGAAGGTAAGATTCACAAGCAACGAAAACAAAGCAATTTACACATCCTCCTCGATAAGATGCCATTATTTTGCTCACACAGTGGCACATCAGCCTGAATTGAATCATGTGTATATAGCGAAAGCACACCCCCCGCAACTGGAAAGGGGCCTTTCAGCATTCTCCACAACTCCGCACATTTCATCTCTCACACAAAATCAAAGTGCACCAGTAGCTTGAGCCTCAGCAAGGCTAGTTCCAAGACTGTTAACTGGAACTCAAAGGGTATGAGTATGGAGAAATAAAGGAATCATATGGAGACTCTTATTTCCGCTTTTTCCTTTCCCACCATTAAAAGGCATAAGTTCAGCAATCAGAAGGAAAAGACAAAATGCATATTAACGTTTCCTTACCCTAATTAGGCCCTAGCAATTGAATGAAATAGATTCAAAAAGGGGGTGGCAACGCATACAACCACCAGTAAAATCAAATCGACAATGAAATCGACATGATTCACAAAGAAAAATCAAACATGCAAGAGGATTTCAAGGAGATGAAAACAGAAGAAATGATTAGCTGGAGGACAAGATGAAGAATGCAGAGTCGATGACTTACTTGCGGTGAACTCAGCTCTTGTGGATCGGAATCTTACTTGCAAGCAGCAGTGTATGAGATCGATTGAGGAAGTCGATTGGATTTTCTTAGGTTTCAGAGTGAAAGTTGAGAGGGAAAGGAAAGAAGCTCGCGCGGAAGATAAACTGACCTCTCCTCTGCCGCATACCAAAAGGAGTTTGATTTTCTTTTTCTTTTTTCCAGTTTTTCATAATAAACATGGAAAAGGATTTTAATTTTTGACTTAGAAAATAAATTACAAAAAGAGAATAATACGTAACAATGATATTAGATTAACCACATATGTTGTCGCAAAGTTAAGGGTAGGACTCTCACAATAATAAGCGTGGTATAAGCCCATTTACCGTGACTCCCAGTCGATGACAGCTAATTAGATTTCAGGTCATTGCAACGAAAATTTGTACCTTGCACTTGTTTAGTATACGGGATAAAGAAGGTTGTAGGATAAAGAGCTAACAGAGCAATAAAAAGACAAAGGTTAATTGTGCCCTCTTTCTGAGTGCCTCGATAGGGGTGAGCTCAAATTCCTAAAAGGAAGATCAAAACAAATTTAATCTATAATTTTCGAACTAAGAAAAATAATTACACTTCAAATCATAGCAACAATATGAATTATGCGACAAGGTTTAGTGGACGTTGTTCAACTAAAATGTAAGTTTTATTATTGTAGGTTTACTGATTGCTTTCATCAATCGATTACAATTTACATTATAAGGTTTAGAATTTAGGTGTGAAGATTTTTTTTTACACTTCACGATTTAGGGTATAGGGTTTTTTGTCATATTAAATGTGAATATAACATTTTTTATGACAAACTTGGTTGTCAGCAGAAATATATACTAGTATACATTGTGACAAATTTACTACTTTTCATACTATACATTTATTATTTCCCTCCACAAGTTCCCGGCAATTCACATTTTGGCTAACCAAATGTGTGATATATTTAATGTAACAAAATTAGTTTGTCATAATAAAGTATTCCGATTGTATATTTTGACAAAATCTTTATTTGTCACATTAAACATTTCATCTTCCGCGCCACAATTTCCCGCCAATACATAGCCGATAACGAGTTTTTTTTACTAAGTATAACCTGTCATATTATAGGTACATTCGTAATGTTATGAAAAATGAAGTTGTCATAATCCAGCTGACATAGTGGATAATTTGACAGACGATATTATGACAAATATTTTGTCACATTATAATCCAATCATTCCTAGCTGATGACCATATTTTGACAAAACAATGTTGACATAATAAATTTGTCATAATACATACTTAATATGACAAAATGTTATGACAAGCTTGTTGTTTGTCACAACTTGTACAGAAATTATGACAAACATGGTTGTCGTCGCATTATATGGTCTATTGTGATAAAATATAAATGACAAATTTTTTTTTGTCACAACAGGCCAAAATTGTAGTAGTGAGAAATGCTCGTTTTGCACTTCTAGTGTTGTTTTTCTTGGTTTTGTGGTGAGTGCAGATGGAGTCAAGGTGGACGAAAAGAAGGTGAAAGCAATTTGCGATTGGCCTATTCCTATCAACGTGAATGAGGTGCGGAGCTTTCATGGGCTAGCTGGATTCTATCGATGATTTGTGCCCAACTTCAGCACCATTGCCGCACCATTGACATCCATCATCAAGAAGAATGTGACGTTCTATTGGGGAGAGGAGCATACTAGAGCATTCGAGCTGCTCAAACACAAGCTCATGCACGCTCCTATTCTGATGTTGCCATATTTCAATAAGACATTCGAGGTGGAGTACGATGCTTTTGGTTTGGGAGTTGACGCAGTGTTGATGTAGGAGAAGAAGCCGATTGCATATTTCAGCGAGAAGTTGAGTGAGGCTGCCCTCAACTATCCTACGTACGACAAGGAGCTCTACGCTCTAGTTCGAGCCTTGGAGACGTGGCAACACTATCTATGGCCAAAGGAGTACGTGATTCATACTGACCACGAGTCGTTGAAGTATTTGAAGGCTCAACACAAGCTGAACAAGAAGCATGCTCGATGGGTTGAGTTCATTGAATCTTTTCCATATGTGATCAAGTACAAGCAGGGCAAGGAGAATGTAGTTTCTGATGCCGTATCTCAAAGGCATACACTGATCACTATGATGGGAGCATGGTATTGGGGATTCGAGCATATTAAGGAGCTCTACGTTGATGATGCTGACTTTGGAAAGATCTATAAGGCGTGTGAGCAGCATGGAGATGGGGAGTTCTATCGAAGTGATGACTATCTATTTCGAGCTAATCACTTGTGCATTCCTCGAGCATCACATCGAGAGTTGTTGTTGAAAGAGGCTCATGGAGGAGGTTTGATGGCGCATTTTGGTGTAGACAAGATGCTGAGTTGTCTACAAGAACACTTCTATTGGCCTCATATGAAGGGAGACGTGGAAAATTTGTGTGCGAGGTGTGTGGAGTGCAAGCAGGCCAAGTCGAAGGTGCAGTCGTCTGGATTGTACACACCACTACCGATTCCATATGCTCCATGGATCAATATCTCTATGGATGTTTTGATTGGTTTGTCGTGGACAAGGAAGGGAAGAGAATCGATTTTTGTGGCGGTGGATCGATTCTCGAAGATGGCACATTTTATCCCATGTCATAAGACTGATGATGTAGTTAACGTGGCTGATTTATTTTTCAGGGAGGTAGTACGATTGCATGGGATGCCACATTTCATAGTATCCGATCTAGATACTAAGTTTCTAAGCTTTTTTTGGAAGACGTTGTGGAGCAAACTGGGGACGAAGCTGCTGTTCTCTACCACATGTCATCCTCAAACCGATGGGCAAATAGAGGTGGTCAATCGAACTCTATCCCAGATGCTTTGATCTGTAATCAAGAGCAACATCAAGGTTTGGGAGGACTGTTTTCCCCATGCAGAGTTTGCTTACAACAGGATGGTGCACTCGACTACAAAGTTCTCTCCGTTTGAGCTCGTGTATGGTTTCAATCCACTCACTCCTTTGGATTTGATGCCATTACCTTTGAAAAAGCAGGTCAATATCGATGGAGAAAAGAAGGCAGAGTTCATGAAAAGCCTACATGAGAAGGCGAGATTGAACATCGAGAGGAGAACTAAGTAGATTATGCAAAATGTGAACTAGCATAGGAAGTCGAGGCACTTTGAAGTTGGCGATTGGGTGTTGGTGCACTTGAGGAAGGAGATATTTTCCCAGAAAAAGGAAATCAAAGTTGCTGCCTCGTTGTGATGGTCCTTTCCAGGTGGTTTCGAAGGTGGGAAGCAATGCCTATAAGATAGATTTGCTGGGAGAATATGGAGTAAGTGCAACGTTTAATGTTTCTGACCTTGCACCTTATTTGGATGGCAATTTGGATTTGAGGGCAAATCCTTTTGAAGAAGGAGGGGCTGATGAGGACATTAATGGGCCAGCCACACGTGCAAAGGCAAGAGCGTTGAAGGAGAAGCTTGCAACGTATTTGGAGAGCTACTTTGGAGCCATGGACGTGGAGCTGTTTCGAGGGAAGCCATTTATGATGATTCAAGTGGAGGAAGAAGGAGGAAGTGCTAAAGAGAAGGCAGATCGCAAGAAGGAGCCTTAACGGGTCCAGGCTTAACGGTTTTGGGCTTAACGGGTTTGTTGGGCTGTTTTTGGGTTCCCTTTGCTTTAAAGTCGGTTCTTATTGTTTTTCCTTGTTGGAGTCGGATTTGGATTGTATTTTCCTATTTAAAGGGGCTGAACATGTTGGTTTAAGAGTCACAAACCCTATTGATTGAAATTAACGGCTATTGCCGAGTTCCTTCAGAACTTTTGTAACATCCCGAACCTTTTCCCGACAAGATACTATCCGCTTTGGGCCTCTACACCCGCACGGATTTCGACTTGGGGTGCAATTCAGGGTGACTTCCCATAAGGTCACTCATCCTTGTTGTACTCCACACTGAGCACGTTTAACTTCGGAGTTCTCACAAGAAATCCTCCATTTCACCCCAAAATGCGCCTTTTTAGTTAAGGTCATTTTCTTACTTATGAACCATGAATCTCTCCCGTGCTTTGTCGATGTGGGATTTTCCTAAGGTGTTATACATACCCCCCCCCCCCCCGGACTCAACGTCCTCGTTGAGGTTTGCCCCACCATCGTTCAAGAGGGACGCGGAGAGGCTCTGATACCACTTGTAACATCTTAGGCAAATCCCACATCGGCAAAGCACGGGAGAGATCCATGGCTCATAAGTAAGAAACCGACCTTAACTGAAAAGACGCGTTTTGGGGTGAAATGGAGGAGTTCTTGTGAGAACTCCGAAGTTAAACATGCTCAGTGTGGAGTACAACAAGGATGGGTGACCTTATGGGAAGTCACCTTGAATTGCACCCCAAGTCGAAAACCGTGAGGGTCGAGGCCCAAAGCAGACAGTATCTTCGTCGGGAAAAGGTTCGGGATGTTACAACTTTTACCCTCAAAACTCTGTTGAGAATTCCAGAGTGTTAGAGCGACTCTTATCAGCTAGGTATTCATTCTAGTTGTGGCGAGCTACCCATATCAACTGCCCTTAATTCTGAGTTGAGATTGTCCGATCGATTACTATATCGATTGCCCCTTTTCACGAGTGAATTATGTCCGGTTGATTTCCATCTTTATCCTAGTTCTTTTGTTTGATTTGAATTGCTTCGTGCCAATCTTGGCTGAATATTATAATGATGATGTGTAGGACGCCTGTCATGTTTGCCTTTTTTCCCATTTGGTGTTCGTTTGTTCTTACTAGCTCTTTTTGTTATATGCAAGGGTCGACTTTTCTACTATTGCGAACTTGATGAAGAGTCAACTCGCAAAGATGAACATTGGGGCGCCTGCGACCTCGACCGCCATCAACCCAAAAGCGCCTGCCACGTCCATTCCGAAAAAGCGGAAGGTATCAAAAAAATCTCCGGCAGGTGCCCAGCAAGAAAAGTTGCTTGCACGCACTAAGATCGCTAGTGTAGCATCTTCTGCCCCTGACGTGGGCATGGCAGAACTGGTCTTCAACTCACCGTTCAGGAAGAGCGACTGGACGAAGAAGATGACACTCCGTTGGTGCGTAGGGAGAAGAGGACGGGCATCCCGCTGCCGCATGGCGGGAAGAAAGCTCTAACCAA